TGCTCACTTCTACCACTCATCGCCATCTGCCCCAACCACGTTCACCTTGTTGCACCTTGTTCATGTCACCCAAGTGGCTTTGACTATGTTGTTCCCTCTGCCTGAAACACACTTTCCTCTCCCACACAATTTCACATGTTCCTTTAAATACTACTTTCTCAGCGAGATCTTCCCTGACCACCATATCTCAGCTTTCCATCCCAACTCTCCTCTATTTTAATTATTTCATGCCATTTTAATTATCCTCACAGCCACTCTCACATGTTGCTAATGCCTACTTTGTTGTTTTGCTAATTTGCTTTGGTGTCCACCTCCTGCAGAGAATGAAAGCATCCTGCAGGCAGGGGCTGTGTCTATCTTTTCCAGCACAGCATCTCTACTGCTCTATGACATAAGAAACAGGAAATAAATACTTGTTCAATGAGTGAATAAATTCTTAAAAGATTAGAAAAGGTATTATAGGTAAAATACCTAGCATACTGCCTGGCACATGATGAATTCTAGCTGTTATTTTCATAAGGATCTATATTATGTTGATTTGCATTCTAGTGGTGAGGTTGTTTCTGGAAGGAGAGAGGATGGGGACTGAAATAGGACTGGAGGACTCTCGGTGCCAACTTGCTGTCCTCACACTGTGTTTGGAACATGCAATATGCCAAAAGTATGCACCTGTTGCCTAGATGGATCTTACTGACCATGTGAGGTTGGAGAGGGGATGGGGCTGGGTGCTGCTGAGGGCTGATGCTGAAGGTTGATTGGGGAGAGGGGAGAAGCTGGGGCCAATTTCTTTTTGCATAAAACAGTCTCATTCCATCCTCAAACAAGTTCTTGGAAGTGGACAATGAATCTGTCCAAGCCCAACTTACCCTTTGATGCTCAACTCAGCCTTTACCTTCTCTACGAATCTTTTGATGTCTACCTCAGTGAGAATTACCTTCTCTATCTTCCATCCCATTCCTGATATAGCTTTGTGAGAATGCAGCTTATGCTTACTGGGCTCAATACTCGTTTTGAAGTGTCTACCTCTTTGTCAAACGTTGTGACCTAATTTTGGGCTTCAAAATAAAATTGCAACCAATAATTCAATAACAGGAATCATAACTGAAGTAATGGTATTAAATTTCTCAGAATTGTTTTTTGAGTTATTTTTAAAAGTAACTTGAATAGGGAACAGATCTATATATACTGAGCTCCCACTCTATGTTGAATACTGTCACAAAAGGGGGTGGTTATAAAAATGGAAGACTCCCTGTCCGAAAGTAGTGTACGGTTCAATTGAGAATTAACAAGATAGACCATTATAATAGAACATAATCGGTGTTGTGATGACGATAAAATAGGAAGCTTGGGGAGCACAGAGCAGGGATGCTTGCCTCCTCTGCAAAGTCAGAGAATGCTTCCTACAAACGGTCACACCTGAGCTGAGTTCAGTAGCAGGAAGCTAAATGGAGGGGAGGGGTGATATGGTTTGACTGTGTCCTTGCCCAAATCTCATCTTGAATTGTAGCACCCATAATTCCCATAAGTTGTGGGAGGGAGCTCGTGGGAGATAATTGAATTATGGGGGCGGTTTCCCCCATATTGTTCTCATGGAAGTAAGTCTCACAAGATCTCATGATTTTATAAACAAGAAACCCCTTTTGTTTAGTTTTCACTCTTTCTTTCCTGCCACCATGTAAGATGTGACTTGCTCCTCTGTGCCTTCTGCCATGAGTGTGAGGCCTCCTCAGCCAAGTGGAACTGTGAGTCAATTAAACCTCTTTCCTCTACAATTACCCAGTCTCGGGTATATCTTTATTCGCAGCATGAGAACAGACTAATTCAAGGGGTAAAGGGATTTAGAAAAAAGGAAAGATATGCTGTAAAGGAACAAAACAGAGTCTGGGCCTTCAGGAAATAGGCATTTTATTTGGCCTGAGGGTGAGATGCCTAAGGAGGAGAACAGGCTAAGATACGGCTGAAAATAGTTTCTGGCTCTAACATTCCGCACTGTAGAAAACTGCCAAGCCAGCTACATGGCAATATGCATACAATGTGCCCTCATCCCTGTACTCATGCTCTCCCTTTTGGGGTAGCAGAAACTGCCATTTTTAATTGATTTCACATTTTAAGTGTGATACCAGCTCCCATCACTGTGCCACTATATCTTTTTTCAGGCCTCTGCTTCCATTTAAAGTTCTCTGCCCAGCACATTAACGCTTCATTTGAGTCTTTGCAGGGAATGGCTGGTCCTGGAACCTTCAGGTCATGTTAACCCTCATGTGGGTGACACAGACTGTTCACTCTCTCATCCTCCACCCTGGTTCAAATACTGTGGTGAGATGTCACCTGAGATATTACTCCAATGATTCAAACCTTCAGTGGAGCAGCTTTCAGAGGTCTGGCAAATTAATTTTGCTTGCAGGACACAGTGACATCTCTTACTAATAATTTTTACCCAGGCAGCATTTCTAAAGGTTCTAATGTTGTGTGTTCTTTAAAGCTGCTGGCATTTTCTTCCTTTTTTAAATCTAAAAATGTAGCCAAGAAGTAGGCATCTGATCCTTGGTCTCCCATGGGGATGCTGGTGCTTCAGGAGAATTATAACAATCCCTAGTTTTTGAGTGTGGTTACCATGGGCCAGACCCTTGCAATGAACAACCATTTAGTCCTCACAATAATAGTCTAATTTCTGGTGTATTAGCATCTCTATTTTTCAGAAGATGAAGCTTGAGTTAGGATTTGAACCCGGGTACTGTGGCATTGGTGTTGAAGCTCTTAACTACCACACCTCATAGCTTTACAAAAAAAGGCGATTATTCTTTCAGGCTTCCTCAACTCAGTTGGGCTTCTTATGTTGATTGATGTCTGGGGTCATCAAACCTTCAGGGATCCCAGGCACCAGATGCCACATCATCTTTGACTCTTCCTCTTCCTTGGTCTCTACTTGCAGTTAGTTGCTGTATTTCCTTGTTCTAGCGCTACAGAAACTCTTTTGTCTTTCTTTTCACATCTAATGCCCCTGTTCAGACCCGATGTTATGAACGCAATAAGGCAGCCCCTATCAGAGTTCCTTGTCTCTAGCTTTGACAACCTCAGATTCACCTTTTACATTGTGATCAGTCATTCAATAAATCATTATTGAACCCTGATTGCACACTGGAGATTACAAAGGAACAAGAAAGCTACATCTCAGCCATTACGGGTCTTATAGTAGCTTTGGAAGGGGCTATTGTTTTCCACATATTGAATATGTGTCAAGCAATATCACTCTTTAAGGTGGTTTACTGTGACTTTCTCCATTTTACAGATGCACAAACAGAGGCTTAGAGAAGTTAAATAACTAGCTTAAGGCTACGTAGCTACAAAATATCAGAGCCAGGTATTCAAACTCAGGCAGTGAGAGTCTACAGCCCAGACTCTTAACCAAAGTAGACACTGAAGAAGTAATTGCAAATGCACTGAATGCAAAAAGAAGTAGTTCAGGACTCGACTTAGACTGAAAGGATGGTGATGGTGATTCCAACAAAAATGAACATTACCAAGTACTTTAGAAATACGATCTTGTTTAATTCTCCCAACCCTACAGATTAAGAAATCATCCAGAAGTGTTAAGTAACATTGGTAACATCTATTATCTATTATTTCACAGAGTTAGCATTTGAACCCAGGAGTGTCTGACTCCACAGCCTGAACTCTGAATTAACAAGTTGCCGCGTTAATTTGTAAAAGCAACAGTGACATTTACACTCCTTTGATTAAAATCCTTCAGTGCTTCCATGACTCCCAACCTACCTCCAAGATAAAATCCCAACTGTTCTTCCTGGCTAACCCCCCCATTAAATCCATTCATGACCCCACAGATCCCCAGCCTTGCTGGATGCTACCTGCTCCTGCCACACCTTTGCTCACGATGATCTCTTTACCTGGAAGATTGCCCTTCTTGTCCTTCTCTCTTCCCTCTTGCAACAGAAGTGAACACTCTTACTCCCAATCCCTGCCCATCCAGTTTCCTCAAATGGGAACAGATTCTAGCAAAATCCTCTTGCTTCCTGGAGCTTTACCCAGGTCTGCCCAGTGGAAAAGACTCCAAGCTTCGCTCGCAATCTGGCTGACTCTTGTCTATGTACCCTGACGGTTCAGATTTTCATCTACCTTCCATAGTAGCCTTTTGCTTTATAGTTATCCTATCATTTTAAATGACACATATGATCCCTATGAGGGTGTGATTAGTGTTTTCTAACCATCTATTTTTGGCTATTTTTATGCTACTCTCTATTTCACCCTCACCACCACCCTGTGAAGTAGGGGCTTATAGCTTCACTTTTATACATGGTAAAATTGGTGGTTCTGAGAAGTACAGTGACTCGTCCAAGATCCATAATTAGTAAGAGGAGGAGCATTAAGATTCCGAATCTCATGTTCTTTCCCCCACCTCACCAACCTTTAATGCCGACTGTGCCTGAGTTTGTTCCAGAATCTAAGTCCTGGCACCGAGCAGGCACTCAGCAAATGTCAGCTGAAAGTCTGAATGTATGAACTCACCTATAAAGTTTAAATGGGAGCCAGAGCTAAAGACAGGGAGGGAATAAACAGAAGGTTCAGGGACGGTCCAGGCCCCGGGGATCACTCCAGCTGATGGTGAGATGCCCCAGCCATTAGCTGAGGTTCAGAAAGTTGCCAAGAGTTTCTGGAAAACCCAAAGCTGAGCAGCTGCAGATATATTTGGCTTACATAATCCAGAGGAACACGCTGGGGAGAAAAGCCAAATAGCAAGCCTTTGCTGGGTACCAGGGATGGTGAAAGGGGAGCAGAGATGCACAGGTTTTATTTATTCCTCCCATCTTATCCTTTCCCATGTGAATACAATGCATTCTTCCCCTCCCAAACTCCTGCTGGCATCAGAGATGTTCAAGGTCCTTCTGCAGCTGGGGCTGAGAAGGGAAGCTGGGGAGGGGCAGGTGTCTTTCCTACCATGGCCCAGGCTTCCCACCACTTTATTTTTCATCCAGGCAGCCTTGGGAGCCCGAAGTCCCTCCACAAGCTTGGCTGTGATCCTTCTAAGCTTTCTTCAAATGGCAATCTGTGGGCTATGGAAAGTTTGTTCAACTGTCTCTGCTCCCAGCCTCCTCTGTTCAGGGCTGTCTGACAGCTGTTTGGCCCAAACCAGTCTGGAGAGAGAGTACTGGGGACACCAATGTGATGGCTGCATGAGGACTTGGAAGGTCATCGTCCATCATGAGATAAGTAAAGGGGAACCCTGTATTTCTCCCTCTCCTTTAAGATATTGGGGCAGGGAAAAATCTTAAGTATCATCTTGTTCTCTCCCATATTTTATAATGAAGAAACTGAGGCCTGAAGAAGTAGAGATTTGTGCAAAGTTGGGGTCAATTCATAGAGGAGTCAGAGGATGATCATAGTCATCAACTTCTCTATTACATTCTGTGGATGTTGATTTAAAATGATTTTGTTCAGCCTCTTCCCACCTGTGTAACACTAAGGTGGTCATATAACCTCATTAGGCATACATGACCTTTAAATTTTTAGGTGTCCCTTAAATTTAAAATGAAGATAATAACTGAATCTACTTCATGAGGTAATAGAATGAAATAGGTACTACCTTGTAAAGAACTTAGCATAGGACCTGACACTTAGCAACTGTTCTGTAAACATTCCTAATCATTACCAGTGTTATTGCAACCACTGGGGGCTTTGGAAAACAGGGTCTATATGAATGCACTGGCATGTGTCCATGCCCTTCCCTGGGAAGCTTGCCATCACCCACTGCCCTTCTTCAGATAAGTGTCAATGGCTCTAAGATGCTGCTCAGGTAGCACCTCCTCAAGACACTTTCTTTGCATCTCCAGCTTGGGATACTTGTCTGCTCCACATCAGTGTCTCCATAGCATCTAGGACAGCCACATTATGAATCATTCACAATGATTTTCTTCTTTTATTGACTTGGCATCTCCACCACCACTAAGCTGGAGAAGGGCAGAGGTGGTGTTTTATTTGTCTCTGCACGTTAGTGTCTAAGCATGCCACAGAGAGTACAGTATGAAATGTCTGTTGACTATAGGAGGGAAAAAAAGAAAAAATGGAGGAGCGGAGGAAGGGAGAAAGACAACAAGCAGATACTATATTAAAGAGTGGTGGTATCAATGCATTTTAACTATCTAGCTTCCTTCTTCTAGCCAAGGGAGGCTTACCTCCCTAGTATTGTACCTTTTCCTTACCTAGCCTTCTAAGACCCTATTCCAACCCTGAGGTTGTCTTTATACATATCAAAGCTGTAATCAAACAGTGAGGCAAATACAACATTGTCATAATCACACCTACCCTCTCAGATGGCAAGATGCTTTTAAATTAATCACCCCACAAACACTCTTTGAAGGAGGGGGTAGTAGCATGTTTTTAGGTGAAAAAAGAAACTGGACAGAAAGCAGATGAACTGGTCTGAAATCCACATCTCCTGGGCCACAGGTCAATGCACTTAATGTCTTCACCATACTACTTTCTTTCTCCTGTGGACTGCTCCACAGCCTCAATTCTACGCTATTTTGCAAACCTCAAGCCAATAATAATGGAACAACTAACTCTGTAGTCTTGACATCAATCTCATCAAAGCTCCCACCCAGCATTCTCTCTTTCCATTCTAAAAGTCAAAGTGTTTTCCTGCTCACAACAACAGAACAGAATTATTAATGAGAGAAAATTGAGTTTGCCTACTCCTTGTAACAACCCTCTGCCCCAGTTCCTGGGAACATATTTTTGGACTAAATCTGCTATCAAAACACAGAAATTAGTCTCCAATTTTGGACATCAAACTCAGTTATCTTTTTTGTTATGAAGGGAAATTAGTAACAATTCATTCTGGTTGGAAGCCAAGCTAATATCTTAGCACAGAGTGTCATTAAAAATCACAGTCCCACTGGGTGCTGTGGTATCTTTAAAAGCTTGAACATATTCAGCTGCTTAGAATGGTTTTTCTGGGTTTGTTCTCCCCCAAGCCGCTTGTCACTTTAACCTCAGGATCAGTTAATATTTAAGGCAGAAAATGGCTTGAAGCATCATTTTTTTCTTCCATGGTTTTGTGGATTTAGACTTTCCTAATGAAGAGATTTGGAAAAAAAAAAAAAAAAGGAATTTTACTCTAAGGGGTGTCCACAGCTCCTAGCCATTGCTAAGCAAGTTGGCCATTAAATAGAAGAAAAAGAAGAAGAAAAAAGTTTTCACAGTTTATAATTATATTACCGATTTCATTACAGATCTCATTTTAATTCTGACTGAAATCTTGCCTTGCCTTCTCCCTGTACTCTCTCACGTACAGTTATTAAGTCTAGGTTGGAGTTCAAGCTATTCTTCCTGATTTCAGCATATTAATATGGTTTATTGGTATTTCATTGCCACCTCCCCTATGGGGGTTCTGAATCTCAGCTCAATTTATATTTCCCCTCTTTCTAGGCTCCAGCATGAAGGTTGTTTCATTTTGATGTTGAGAAGGCATGTGTGAATTTGATTGGAGTTTATTTTGGGGGATGGGAGCAACATCCTTGGGGAGTGAAATCAATCACAGAAGAATAGGCAGCCTCAGACCTCCTGCACTGTCATTCTTTAGGATGTATCTTCCTAGATCATCTGGGTCCACCTGTCGGTCCTCCCTTACTTCATTTTTTACAGACACAGTTTCTTATATGCCTATTGAGTCAGAACCTCTATTAGTCATCACAATAAGTCAGAACGTGAATAAGCTGTGGTCCTTGACCTTGAAAAAATTCAAGTCTAACCCCTGAAATAACTTTAAAAAAATATAAAAAACCCAGTGAAAGCTTTTTAGGGGCATCAAGTACGTTTTGAACCCTGTCCAAGGTTCTGAATACAACATGCAAAACAAATACAATCTTTATCCTTATGAAACTTGAAACCTAGTGAGAACACTAACTAGATAAATACACAATTATACATTGAAATAAGTGTAATAAGAAAAAAGGGCAGGGTTCAAGGAGAATGATTAGTAAGGGAGCTAACAGAGACTGGGAAGTAAAAAAGGAAAGTCCATTACCATAGGGTAAATGAGAGAAACTGGAGATAAGGGAAGAAGTTTTCAGGCAAAGAAAAAAACATGTGCAAAGGTCCTGAGGCAGGAGGCAACAGAGAAATTTAAGGAACCAATATAGGGAGAGGTAGTGTGAGGTAAGACTGAAAAGGCAGGCAAGGGCCTGACATTGCAAGGATGCAAAGACCATGATAAGAACTTCAGTCTTCAAAACAAGTAAAAAAAAAACAATATACAGTTTTATGGAAAGTATGATATGTATACAATACATTTATGCAATGTATTGATATTTTTAATTGTAAAAGATTGCTGTGTTTGCACTATTTTTTTTTTTTTTGAGACAGAGTCTCGCTCTGTCGCCAGGCGCCAGGCTGGAGTGCAATGGCACAATCTCGGCTCACTGCAACCTCCGCCTCCTGGGTTCAAGCAATTCTCCTGCCTCAGCCTCCTGAGTAGCTGGGATTACAGGCATGTGCCACCACGCCCAGCTAATTTTTGTATTTTTAGTAGAGACAGGGTTTCACCACGTTGGCCAGGATGGTTTCGATCTCCTGACCTTGTGATCTGCCCGCCTCAGCCTTCCAAAGTGCTGGGATTACAGGCATGAGCCACTGTGCCTGGCCGTGTTTGCACTATTGAGAAAAGACAGTAGAGAGGCTAGATTTAAAGCAGTAGGCCAGTTTGTAGGACTGTGGCAGTTGTCTCCATGACACATATGTAACAGTAATAGTCACAGGAGTTAGACTGAAGTCTTTAGAAAGGCATATGTAGTTCTAGGTAATGTATATGAAAGGAGACGATTTTTGTCTCTGGTGACTCATTGAAGAAGGTTTGCTAGAGGAGGGAGAAAAATAAGTTATGCCATAGAGATAGGTGAGATTGACATATATGCAAATATATGATGGAGAGGAATGTATAAGCAAAGGCATATAGAAAGGCAGGTACCAGATAAGATAGTCTACTTGTCTAAAAACAGCATCTAATGAGTTAATGAGGAAACAGACAGAAGGCATATTGTATACAACTTCCATTCATGAGCATGTTCCACAGTATTAAAAGACCTGCAGTCAATACTGAGCATTTTAAAACAAAGCTTGGGATGATTTCAGAGAGCAGAACGTCCAAGGAACTACTCTTTTTAAATAAATTGCTTGGCAGTTTGTGGCCAAGGATCCACTTTCAATGTGGTATAATTTTCCCTTCTAAGAATTGAAAATACTCTTTCCTTGTATTAAAATCGCTGCAAACTAGTTCTCAAGCCAATTATGGACCTCATTCTTCTCTAACAGCATGAAGCCATGCATTAGCTCACTCTTTTGGGATGGGAGACATCAAGTAGGGAAAAAAGCAAATAAACGTAGGCACACGTTATTGTACACAATTTTATGCTCAAAACCAGATACATGTGTGGCATATTAGTGAACTATGCCGTCCCAAAATGTGGGCATTTATACTTGATGATTTCACGGGCTAAGAAGGAATACTCAGAGCCCAAATACCTCAGTCATAGGGAACAGAAAAGACTTGGCTATCAACTTAAGTCAATCTAAAAGATGATGTTAACCATTTAAATTAACTTGAATAAAAAAAATTTTAGCATAGGTATTTTAATGTAACAATCATATCAATATATAAAATTGTGTGTGTGTGTCTGAGACAGAGAGAGAGAGAGAGAAAGACAGAGAGAGAGAGAGAGAGAGAGAGAGAGAGAGAGAGAGAGAGAGAGAGAGAGAGAGAGAGTTTAGCTAAGTAATGTATTCAAGAGACAGCGACATCCCTGGTTTTTACCCATTTCTGAGCCTATGCAAAGCATTCGCGACACTCTGGATGAAGTACTAAGGTATAAACAAACGTATTCTAAAAGTTATAAAAATTAAGTGGTTTTAAAATTTACAGTTTAATAAGATGGCTCCAAGACAAAATATCATGTATTCAAGCCAAACACATCTCTTCCTTTCTCTTCTACAGCTTCATGAAAATGTGGTCATCTATTCTCAGGAGATTTTCTATGATGGGGAACTCATTACCTTGCAATGACCCCTTCCAATATTAAGAAAATATTATTACAACTTATAACATTTACATAATATATTGAGCCATTATTAGGTCTTAGGTACTGAGCTAAAAGCTTTATAAGTATTATTTCACTTATTCTTCACAATAACTTTATGAGATAAGTACTGCTATTATTCCCAATTTATAGATAATGTAACTGAAGCTGAAAATGTTTAAGTAACTATCACAAGTCACACAGTCAACAGCAGAGGAAGATGTTTCCAAACTAGGGTTCATCTTCTCCCATTCCTGACCACACTCATCACTCGTATAACTCTCTAGCTGTGCTTCCTTAAATCTTCCAGAACCAGCCTGCTCTCTTCAAAAAAATTAATAATTATCCTGATCTCCTCTCTGGAAGCTTAGAATGTAGAAGAATCTTAGACTGGGGGCTCAGGTAGACTTAGGTTTTCATACCACGTCATCTGTATGTTAATCTAATAAAGATCCCTGAGCCCCACTTTTCAAGTATGCAAATGAGGATACTAAATCCCAACTCTCAGTTTTGCTATGAGAACTGAATGAAGAGTCCTATGTAAAGTGTTTTGTATGCTGCTCAATAGATAACAGACATACTCAATAATAGTAAGTTCCCTTCCTGTCTAGGTTCCTTCAACTCTTGTTATTGAATGTCTTCCATCTTTTCCTTAAGAGGCCATTGGGTATCTACAGTGCTTTCTCAATATTTTAACTGCCAAATCCTCTCACTTGAATAACTTCCAATGTATAACAACTCTTGGAACAAAACAGAGAACTCTAGGTGGAATGTTACCTGCCTACACTGGAGAAGAACCATCTTACCTACTTCACCTAAAAAGCTTCTTCCTTTAAAAGCAGACTCTTCTACTGGCTGACCACATTGGGTGAATATATACCAACTTTCATTGGGAACTTCCATAGATGCATAAACTAGGATCTCAGCTAAGATAGGTTTAATATTAACCAATAATTATTTCTCAATAAGGCTAACTGCATGGCAATTTTGATCAGGCCCAAACCTGTGTGATCAGGGTTAGTATATTATAAACCTTAAGAGTAGACCACTCACATTATATCTGATGCTGTTGACAGTCACTGGAGTTATGCTATGAGGCAGCTCCATTAATAGGGCATTGACCATAAGTCAAAGGTGGAGGAAACCAAAGACCATTATCAAGGATGCTTATACTGATTCCAAAGGGTCTGAAGGAGTGATCATATATGTTAGATGGAAAAAAAGTAACACTTAAAGAAATATTGACATAGCTCTCAAAGCTCTCAAAGTGACAACCTAGAGAGTTCTTGAAAAGAATATTAATATGTGGGCTCTAGCCTCAGAGAATATGACTTACTGGTTCTGGGAATTAACTCCCCAGATAACCTAAATGCAGATGATTTATAGTTCACAGATGAATAAACAATGCTAGCTTAAGTCTGTTTAGATGCAAACATGTTCCATTTCTTCAGTGTGTGCTTGGGAGGGCAAAAAGCCAATGAAGGCTTTGAAGAAGCCCAGATAAAAGAAGGGGTGAGATTTGCCAAGAGTTTGGATGGGAACTGTGTCAGAACTCTTGCCAGCTGAGCTCTGGACAACTGCTATGTCATAATGACCTTTTCTTTATAATGGACAGTAAGCATCGAGAATGACTATGCAGTAACACAAGGGCAGAATTCATTTTCTCCTGGAAGACAGGACCCATTACTCAGCCCCATCCAACGATCCAGCACCATGGACAGCTCAGTGTGTGAGGGAGGCTGAGAGCTCTCTGCTAAGAAAGGGCCAGCACCTTGGCAGCTTAAAACTCATGAGGGTGACTCAAAAACGATGAATGCTGCCCTGGCCTTGGTCCCTGGGAGACCTGATCTCAAATGGAGCTTCTTGCACTTGGCATGGGCTGCCCTCATCCTGACAGGCCTCATTAAGACTTTGTTTTTATTGTTTTTTAAAACTTTTCCAGTCTTAATGGGCCAGCATTATGATGTGGGTGAATACGTGTATATAAAATATAACAGAATTGTGCACTTTCCATCATCTGTGTTTGTTACTATATTTATGTTAGGTTATAACACATTTATAAATATCAATACTAAGGGATGATATAGGTTCAAGAACATAGGCACTATTATCACCTTCCCTCTTATCCCCTTATGTAATACCCTCTTATCTCCAGAAATCAGGACTGCAAACTTCACTAGTACAATTTTTAAAATCAATTTTCTAGATCCTTCTCTACTCCTACAGAAGACTGGATTCTACTCCTTTCGCATCCCAGTTACTATATCTGCCAAAAATGGATAATAAAGACCACTTTGGAGAGCTGTTGGAGGAATGAGATGAGCAATTCCCATAGACTTTCTGCCAAAGGAGGCCTTGGGATTATGCTGGGGAAGGTGAGCTTGCTTGGAATTACCAGACAGGTGTCCACCTGGCTTCAGGGGCTGGCTGCTCCCAGGATTCCTGCTGAGCCCCAGAGATGGAGGACTTTCAACTGTTAAGGTCTTCAAGTGGGAAAGTCACTTTCAGCTAGAACAAAGCAAATAATGTACTTCCTCTTCCATTCACCTCACTGAGAGTAGCTAAATTCACCTATTTGGTTTTCTATATTTTCTTGCGTTGCCATGTTCTAGCTTCTGAAGTCTCCCTCTTTACAAACTATTTTAATAATAAGAGTAATAACAGCTACCATTTGTTGGGCTATCACAATGTTTTAGACACTCTACTAGGCACTTTATATACATTGTGACATTCAATCATCTCATAATAATCCTTATTTTTCAGATAGATGAGAAAAACGAGACTCAGGTAGCTAACTCGACTCTTCTATGTTTCACAGTAAATAAGCAACAAAGTTGAGATCCAAACCAAAACCTACTTCATTTGAAAGGACACAATCCTACTAAGATATTATGGCATGTAAGGGATGGAGATTCCATTGTGCCTAGAGACAAAGATACTGTGGACAAGGCCTTCCCAATGCTGTCTTAGTCTAAGCTTGCTCCGTCACATCTCCAAGATGTGTACACTCCATAGTTATTTCTAATTTTTTTTGTATTAATTATATATTTTTTATTTTCTGTATGCTTGATGCTCTGGCATCTAAGCCTCCTGACTGGGGAGAACCCTCCCCTCCAGGTATAGTCATATCTTAGAGAAAGCAAAAGACTTGTCCAGGGAGCATGCCTTTCATATGAAAATTAACCAATCCAGAGCCTACACTCCAATCATCTCCTCTATGTGGCTTATCACACTGGGAAAGAATATACTTTCCCTTCATCATCCTAGGGCCAGATACCAGGCAATCAGGAGCAGCTCCAAAACCCCAGAGCCCACCAAAGTTAATTCAAATTAGCCAATCTCAAATCTGTCTACACTGCTTACATCACCTCACCCATTTCTTCCTGCAATAACCACAATACAGGCTCTTGCCCATGCTTTCCACTTGCTCCTGTCTTCTGATATATCCGAGTGCTTTCCCACACAGTGTGCTGTGCATTGTGTATCTGAGATCTGTGAGTATGAAAACTGCTTTTCACAACAGTCCTTTCCATATCTGCAGACAAATCCTGGGTACATTTTAAAACTTTATGGGTATATTTTAAAACATCTTTGATCTCTCTGCATCATCCACCTTAGTTTTCTTTGATTCAGCACCTGTTGTATGATTAGAGATCTACTAGAAGGAGCCCTTAGAATAATGAACACAACTCAGCTTTAATTCAGGCAACATTCATTCACTGAGCACATATTTGCTGAACATCCATTATGGACCAGGCACCTTGCTTATCACTGGGAATACAATATTTCCTCCCGAAAGACATAATTTCTGCCCTCACAGAGATTCCAGTCTAGAGGCAGAAACAGACTGAAATTCCACAGGCTGTTTCCACCACGGGCAGAAATTCCACAGGCTGTTATAAAATTTTAAGTTTATAACACTGGGAGCACTGAGAAAGGACAGCTTTTAATTGACCACACATGGGTCTGTCCTTCTAAATCATCAAGATCATTTGCTGTTCTCTTGGGTAGTCTCTTGATTTTGTTCTTTCCCAGCTGTTTTCTATTTCTCAGTCATATGCTATCTGAAAATTTGACGAACACGATAAAGAACAGGAACTGTAGTCTTCAGAACACTCCAATGAGATAGGTACTATTGTTATCCACCTCTTATAGATGTAGAGACAGAGACTCAGAGAGGTGAATTCACTTGGCTATCAAAGTGGCAAACAACAGAACAAGCATTTGGATTAATGTTTATATTATTCCAAAGCCTGTGCTCTTAAGTCATTAAACTATTTCACCTTGAGCAAGTTATTCTCTCAGGGATTCAATTTCTACATGTATGAAAATAAATATGTAAAACTTGAACACCTTTAAGGCTTAACATTCTGCAATTAATGAGTAGTGACAGCTGAGAGATAAAAGATGGGAGACAGGCATTTTGTAGAAGTTAATATTTGCTCTACTGTTTTTTTCCAACGCAGGTCATCCCTCTTGCTCCTCCATCGCTATATTCTGGCCACATCCAGGTTCTGGCAATTCTTCTAGCTGCATAATCCATGAAACCACTTGCTTCTGTAATTTTGTTCCTTCTGCCTTCCTATACCATTCCCTACCATCTTCCCCACCACATGTTTACCTATCTTATGTGCACATATGATTCATTAAAGATGAACCAAAGTCTTGTACACAGGTCTGAATATCAACTGAATGTATATGAACTAAGAAATGCTAAGCTCTGACTGTATATGAATTTACTTGCAGTCCAAGTGAAAAACAAGTAGGGGTTTCTGCACTACAGTGAAGTGGGAACAATCAGGATGCATTGATAGAAGTTTGGGTGTTTCAAAACATGGGTTGGGGGGTAAAAGTTCTGCTTTGCTCTGGTCACAATATACTGAAGGGATGGTGCTAAGTTCTGAACACTAAACCATGAAGATAAAATCAAATTTCTTTGAAGGAAAACTGGCAAATAGAGGGTAAGGATCTCAGAAACATTCAATACATATCAAAATACAAAACTATTTTTAAGAATTAATGGTACTACAGAACATTAACTGGAAGGAGGCACAAGGAAACCTTATGAGGTGCTGGAAATATTCTATAATTTTATCTGGGTCGATTCATATGTAATCCTATGTTACATGTCCTTATCACAAAAAATTAGAGTGAGAAGAAACTTTTAGTGGTGATGTTTATGTTTATGGCGTTCCTTATGGTGATGATTTCACAGGTATTTCAAACTCATCAAGACATATACATTTTTAAAAGTGTAAAATGTATACAATTTTTAAAGTACAAAAAGTTCTGAAACTAAAAATTTATTAAGCTGCACAATTGCAGAGTTAAGGTGTGCCTTCTTCATTAGAATTATGCTAAACTTCAATGTATCTAAAGATGGTGATGCCATGTGACAAGTGTTTGAAAAACAGACACCAACATGTCCTGGAGTATGTAAACTGGAGCAACTTTTCTGGAGGGCACTTTAGCAATAGATAGCAAGCACGTTAATCAGGGTCTTGGACCATGCTTTGCTAATGACTATGGTGGCTACAGTGTCTCAGTAATTCAATTTAATTGGGTAAAAAGTAAATGGTAGAACATAAGATACTTGTAAAGTGCATTTACAGGGAATGAGAATATGAATATTATCCAGGACATTCAGGATATTCCAATAAAATTTATATAATATTTATTGTCATATGTTTTTAATTAGCAAATAATCTCTGGGGGGCATTTTTATTTTGAAATGGATCTGCAAGCATAAGAATCAGTAGGTTCTCTGCAGTAGCTCAATCTTTCTGCATCCCCATTTGAATTCTTCCTTTATTTAATAAACTTTATCCTTGCTCATAGGATAAAAGCAGTGCTTACTGGATAAAGAAAATGTGGCACATATACACCATGGAATACTATGTGGCCATAAAAAAGAATGAGTTCATGTCCTTTGCAGGGACATGGATGAAGCTGGAAACCATCATCCTCAGCAAACTAACACAGGAACAGAAAACCAAACACTACTTGTTCTCACTCGTAAGTGGGAGTTGAACAATGAGAACACAGGGACACAGGGAGGGGAACATCGCACACTGGGGCCTGTCAGGGGATGGGGGGAACGGGGAGGGGAAGCATTAGGACAAATACCTAACACATGCAGGGCTTAAACCCTAGATGATGGGTTGATGAGTGCAGCAAACCACCATGACACATGTATACCTATGTAACAAACCTGCATGTTTAGCACATGTATCCCAGAACTTAAAGTAAAATAAAAAATAAAAATAAATAAAAGTGGTATTTAATTCAAATAATCTAGACTCCAAATGGTAAGATCCTCTTCCAAGGTCTTTAGATGCTTCTTTCTTTCCCCTGTAATATATATATTAACAATTCCAAGGTTGGGCCATACATAGAAACATTTGACCAGCCAGAGGTGCAAGGTGCTGAGTGGGTGTGGAGCATTTACAATGCTCAGCTCTTACCATCTGCTATGAAGTGCTCAGGCACATGCAGAGTCACCTTCACAGTGAGTGGACAAGACATCTGGCTGCCACACACCATGGCCAAGATGCAGGAGCTCACAGCAATCAGTGTCAGGGCTGTCTTGTTCACTGGGCTTTTCAGCAAACCTGGTAACACAAACACACAGAAAGATACATTATTCCATGAGGTGAAGAAATGGGAGTGGCATCAATTTTTGGAATTCTATTATTTTCCAGTTGGGAATCTGAAAAAAGAAAAGAAAAGAAAAGAAAAGAAAAGAAAAGAAAATACATGCTTTCTAACCTTTGTGCCTGCTATGTGACCTCAGTGGGCTCTTGTTGGGCCTTGGTTTAACACTCTGCAAAATGGGCTTCTTATTCCTTTGGGTAGACATAAAAGAAACGGGCTTCCTGAAATTCGTAGTAATTTTCACTCCTCCCTTCCCAATTTGGTTGGTCATTCTTGATAACAATTAGATGATATTAAGCCTTCCATTCTCCTTAGAGGCAAGTGAAAAGATGTCACGCTGTTAAATTCAGTAGAGCTTAGTGAAATAAGCATGGGCTTGGGAGTTAGATCATTCTGGGTTCAAATTTGGGCTTTGGCCCTCATTGGCTGTGTGATCTCCATCTTCCAAACTTCAGTTTCTTTATGTGTAACATGAAGATAATAAATATCTCACAGCATTTTTGTGACAATTATGCAGCATGATTTGTATATAATGCCTGTCATTTAGAAGAGTTTCATGGTTAGAAGCTGATCAGTTCAAATTAATTTGACAAGGCTTTACTGAGCAGCTACTATGTGAGAGACATACAGAGCAGAAGAATAATTTCTCCTCTTCAGGAGTTTATAGGGTAGGGGGAAGAGTCAAGCTTATCCATGGCTAATTAGATTCTAAGACAAATTGTGTTATGACCTAGCAGAGAGGGCACAGAGTGGGGAGGGTGGTTTTGCCTCTGAAAATTAAAGACAATTTTATGGATATAATAGGAAAAGTAGATTGGATCTGCACAGCTAGAGGACGCTGAGCCAACAGAGAAATTCTATGGAGGCTGTTTTGAGTCTCCCTTCATTTCTCATTCTTTAGGCTTTGTTCTTCAAGGTTTTGCTTACCAGTTTTAGAGCAATGCCCCCCAAATTTCTTTTACCTCCTATGCTCTTCTTTTAAGCAAACCTCTTCCCTCATCTTTTGGACATCTTTCTGTGGCTATCCCATTAGCATGTCAAATATATTAATAACACATTCAAAACAGGGTACCTTATTTTCTCTTCAAAGCCTCCTCCTCCTGGGATCCTCAGCTTATTGAAAGCACTGCCATTTAAACTGGCCAGAAACATCTTTGAGTTTCTGTCTTCCTCCTTTACAGTATCTGAACAGTTGTGTAGTCTTGTTCATTCTATGTCCTTATTATTTTCACCCCACTCCCTTAATCTCTTCTATTGTCTTTTTGCTTGTGGGATAAGGGAGGTGTGCTCATATCTGTTCACTGTACCCCCTGCTGAAATCTCTCAAGTTGTTTTACAGCATCTAGTCACAGGATATGATCCATATTCATTAAACTGGCACCCAAGGCCTTTCATGAAGACACCCAACACTCATACCTCCCGTGCTTTCTCCCACTTTGCCCAATGATGAGCAGGGCTGAATTACTGCAGTGCTCCTAAATTAACACTCTTCATCATGTGAACATTAGTGTAGGTGGTGTTCCTTTTGGATAAAAATCCACTTGTTTCCTCGTCACCATATCACTCTTTGAGACTCACCATATATAAAGATTTTTTATGCTCTTGGTAGATATACTACCCGTATTCACTGTGCTTCCCCATATACCTTATTCCAAACCCTAGAGTGTGGTAAGTAGCCAACTCCTTGAAGGTAAGCAGCGTCTTTTGCTCACCATATGTCCCAGTGAATAGCACGGTGTCTGGATCATTGCAGAATCTCTGTAAGTGCATGATGACTCCCATAAATGGTAGTAACAATAAGCAACCAACATAACACAGATACTAACCAATCAAAAAGCATTCTAGTCAGCATCCAACATTGGCCGTATAACAGAATCTGCTTAAAGGAGAAGATCCCACCTTTTTCATCTTTGTGTCTCTCATACCAAAATCACCATCTGAAACCCAGAAGTTATTTAATTTAAGGATAAGACCCTTGTCTTTTTCTCAGTCCTAGGACAATGCATGTCTTATGGCAGGAGCTATCCATGAGACTGTGGTTATTGTAGTTATAGAATATATGTTAAATAGAAGAGTAAATTAAAAACGTGATTCTGGTGTCAAAAGATGGGGAATCTCTAAACCTAAAATGACCACAGAAAAAAAAGGAATATGTTTTATCTCTTATTTGAGTACCACAAGAAGCTGTTTCATACATATTTGTAATAAATATTTGTTAATATAAATAAAATATAGTACAAATATTTTAGCAACTAAAGAGCATAAGTAATCTAACATCAATGTTATCTACTAGGGTTTGGCACCTTGCATAAATCTCACCTTAAAAAGTCAACCTGTTACCCCAGCCTAGTCATTTAGCAAAACCCCTAAAATAACAGTTAATAACAGCACTGTTTTTTGTTTGTTTGTTTGTTTGTTTTTTTGAAACAGAGTCTTACTTTGTTGCCCAGGCTGGAGTGCAGTGGCACAGTCTCAGCTCACAGCAACCTCTGCCTCCACCTTCTGCATTCAAGCCATTCTCCCGCCTCAGACTTACAGGCACACACCATCACAACCAGCTAAGTTTTGTATTTTTAGTAGAAACAGTGATTCACCATGTTGGGCAGGCTGGTCTTAAACTCCTGACCTCAAGTGATCTACCTGCCTCAGCCTACCAAAGTGCTAGGATTCCAGGCATGAGCCACCGTGCCTGGTCAGCACAGAATTTTTAATTTAGGTTTTATGGAGTCTATTCTGGGGGAAAAATATGTAATGATGAGTCCAGCATGAATAAATTCCTGAGAAGACAAGACAGGTCCAGAGGATGAGATGTGAAAGGTTGTGAGAGGCCCCTGTATCAGGGAACAGACATTCTGCACAGTGAGTCATGGATAACAACACCCTGTGGATCCTTTAGAAGGCATATCTCATTCCTGGCCCATACAGCAGCAGAGGTGTATGTGGCCAAGACCTTTCTTTCACTAATTAACAAACTACAAGAAATACACCACCCAGGCTCCACAGGGCTAATTTCTGGTCTGGGGAAAAAGGGCTGAGGGGCAGGGGTAGAATTGCTCATACTCTCTCCCTGCCCTGCTGGACTAAATTGCATCTCCTATGTTATTTAAAACATAACAGTAATCCAAGGTCTTTAAAAGTCAAGTGAGAAGCTAAGTCACATTAGTTTATTGGCTCTTAGTTTTCTCACCTAGAAAATTGTAACATGGCTTAGCCTTCAGGGGTGTTGTAAGAGCTAAATGAGTCAATAAGTGTCCAATGCCTAGCACAGTTTGTGGCACATAGTAGGCCCTCAGTAAATAATTTCCAAACTAGATATTGGCGTTTGTCTCCTCATTGATAACAGAAACTAGGACTCACCTATTTGTCCAACATGTTCTCAGAACATATTAGGAATTCAATTATTCTTACAGTAGCAGAAGACAAAAAGAGAAAAAAAATGAAGAGAAGGACATAAGAAGGAGAAAGTGTGAGTGGGAGTGAGAATGAACAGCACTGTGGGGCAACCATTTACTCAGAGAATGCCTGAGTCACCACGGTTGTCTCTGAAGTCCAGGAGGAAGAAAGCATGCAGGTCAAGCCTTCACTAAGGCCACAAGCCCATGGAGCATCCAGAGACTGTGGGAAATTGCCATGGCAACTGGACCTGGCAGAAACTTCACAGTGGGACTCAAACCAAGGTGACTTACTAAGAGTTCCTGGCTCAGCGAGGTGGACATAAGCACTTAGCTCTGAGTAGGGGTTACAGACGGCCATGAGGTGGAAACTCTCTCTCCCATAATACCCCTTCCCTAAGCAGGCTCCTTATTGCACTGCTGTTGTAAGATACAGAGACAGAAAAGGGAACCTCCATTTTTGGGCGATTACTATGATCTAGGCAATGTGCCTAGCACTTATCTTTCTCTCCATCTACCTATTCATTTACCAATCCAACCAATTTTCATCGAACATCAGGTCTTTTGAGGCACCGTTAAGGGCATGGGGAAAATAATAGTAAACAAAACAGCCAAAGGCCTTGAAGCTTACATGTTAGTGGCAAAGAATTATCTCATTTACTCCTCTCAGCAAAGCATCTCCATCATTTCCATTTTATAGAGAACAGAAGTATAGAGCAATTAAATGACTTACGTAAGGATCACCCAATTTTGGATGTTACAGAGACTAGATGAGAACTAGTCCTGTTCCAGCCTTTCCCCTGTTTCACTACCACTTCCTGCTTCATCATGAAGTAAGGTCCCAGGATATCCTCATGCAGAAAGGGTGGTCTTTGGGGCCAGGCATATCTATGTTCAAATCCTGGCTTACCCACAAAATCTCCATGTGACACTTGCCAACTGATCCATAAATCTAATAAGAAAAAATATTTCCATCTGAAAAATGGGAACAGAGGTCTTCTTTTAGAGCTGATATGAGGACAAAATAAGATATCATGTGTAATTAGCAAAAAAAAAAAAAAAGAGAGCTAAATAAATGTTAGCTGCAGATCATACTACATGAGTTTTTCTTTTTCTTGTTTTCCCCAGAAAGCTGAGGTCACAGTTCTCCCTTATTCACATCCCCATTTGTGGTTCCTTCCCCATCACTTGCAGGGGAATAATCTGAGAATCTGTGCTGTAGGAAT